GAAAATGCTTTTAGGATGTAAGCACACAGTTTGGAAAATCTGCTTTCTTTTCTGGTTACTGTCTGGCGCTCTTAGACTCATTTTCAAAATTGTGACCGAAGAATGATCCATTCCAACCTCTGTTAGAATCAGTATAGTAGTTACTGATATTGCACAATGCCAAGGAAACCAGAACGACAGGTGGGTTATCGCCAATGGGTGGAAAGCTAAAACACTCTATTTTTCAAGCCTAATTTCCAGAAAATGCTATTTATCATATATCGTCTAGACAGTAAAAATAATAGTATGTATTACCCTGTATAAACTCAATTACTCTATGACATGCCAAACTACGCATTACTCTGTTGAAATCAATAAAATTAAAAGTAGGGATCCCATTCAGGTGAACCATCCGGCTGTAACCTTTCTTCCATTTATTTGGATATCTTGGTCGACTCCAGGCAGTAAATCATAAACAAAAAAAACCTATTGTATACCGACATGTGTGTGGTTGTATCTATCCAGTTGAAGGGTGGATGTAAAGCTGGACATACACGCTAATAATTTGCATGACTCCGCCAGAATATGATCTTTATGAATATTTTGGTGAACAAATCATAATCAACAGTCTCTACCCACACTCCGCCGATACACGACGCGAATCCGTACCTAAAATCTCCCAGCGTTTGAGAAGCTTCATTACAGCCAGTGAATTTGATTTCTTACCTTTCGTCTTTCACTCATACGCAATTGGTCTATAAAATGCTCAAGTTGATTATTCCTTTATTACCAACGGCAGATTTGAGTGGAAGGATTTGCGGCGATTTTTAAGATAATGATATATCAATTTTCCTATTTTTAAATCTTCAGAACACAACACTTGAAAATATGAAATATACACACTCCTTAAAGTGTTTTGAAGGGTACTCCATGTAAAATTTCTCTAAGAATTCTAGTTGCTACGCGCTCAAAACTCTTATTTTTATTGTAACCTGTTTATCGCATGTCCTTTCGGTAACATTTCCGTGTATGTTTAGCTTTTGCTCAGACGGCCGTAAAGGAGATGAAAGAAATAAACCGGCAATAAATTATACAGGAAAAAAGAGGGACGCTCTACATAAAGACAGGTCGCAGAACGAAGTGTTTCTGCTCCCCTAATTACTCATTGCCGACGGTCTGTTTAATAACAGGTCCCAAAACAGAGATTGAGAGATGAATTAATTTTTATATGGTAGGTCAAATATTTGGCATTCAAACAAAAAACGTAGGTTGCGCAAACAATAAATTAGAATCCATCAGCTTATTGTTATAATAAGGTAGTGAGTGGTTCAATAAAAATTCAAATGATTATGGAGTATATATAATATAGTATAAAATAATAAAATAAAACAGTCAATTCCATGCAATTAAAATAAAAATAATATCCTTTAAAATACAAACAAGTGATAAATCAATCTAGAATTCTCAAAAAAAGAAACAGTTTCTGTATAAATCCATAAACAAAAGTAACAAATAAACAAAATCATTCTTACAAAAATCTAATACGGGCCACGTAGCATTCTGAAAAAAATACATATTGTTATTCAAAATAGATTTCCAGTATACATACAATGTTTCTATACTATCCACTGAAAGTGTACTATGATCAAAAACACTATAATTTACCGACATATCAAACTAATCTGCTATCTCATAACATTTGATGATCATTCGTCTCTCACGCGGGGTTGTTGTGGAGACATTTTCTTTCTTCTACAACATTATTTTGTTTCTCAAATGTCTGGTAATATTTTATGACTAAAAACATGATAGTTTCTTTGATTAATGCATTAATTTGTAAATTGAATCAAGAAGGACTTATTCATTTCTTATTTACTTCGTCGCCGCCGCTGGCTGGGTGTAATCCTAATGATATTAGAAAGAAGCCCGGAACTCTTTGAGCTAGGCCCACAGACCTCACGCCTCTGTTCCTATTCTGGTATGGGCACAGCGGCGTATTCATGGGAGGGCTTTGGGGTTCCTCGGAGTCTAGCCTCCCAAAGCGCAACAGCTCATTACGCTTGTTCTACATATTACAGCATGTTATACCTGCTGTGAAGTGTAGCTACCTGGACTAAGCGAGTCCCCACCCCCTCTGCTATGCAGTTTTATATCTCCAAGACACCCCTCCAAGGCCCCGAGAGGGAATTTTCGTGTCACCCTGGATCTTGAGCCTCCCCCCAGATCTTTTCCTGGATAACACCACTAGTTGAGCAATATCTCAATCTACAGGAAACAATTACTATCGCAAAATCAACCACAATAGTGGCTCCTACAAATCATTTTTATAGGCACATTTCAAATTTCCGTCATCGGAATAAACTAGGAAGCCACAGATGAATAAAGTCAACAAATCATAGTTTGTATTAGCAATGGGAGGATTTCTGGAAAAGCAAAAATTCTATATATTTGGTTTCTGCCTAAAGGGGCTGAACCTACCAGTATGTCTATAAAGTAATAAGCATGTAGACCAGAATGCAGTTTTGTATAGACACAGAAAGATATGTACATGAATGCCTAGACCTCCCAGAAAACAAGTTCAATCGTACATATTTATATTAAGTCAGAGCAGACATATGTATTTTGATTTGTCTACGAAAAATGACAAGTGACATTTTCCTGTATTTAGTAGGTATAGTACTGTATGAGATTGAAAAGTGTCGTAGAGTGCGGAGGTATCCTAATCATAGAACGATCCCTAGTATTTATGTCATGAACTTCGCGATTAAATATGATCTTTTCTCTCAGATACACAGGTTTTGATACAGCCGTCAACGAGTGCAGAAACGCTAAGAATTTGTACTGCATAAGATTATCAATTTTTAGCCATTTCATTAGGCGTAGAGTATTGCTAACGTGATCAAATCTCCTCAGCCCATGAATGAAGCGAATGCAATTATTTTGAATAATCTGCCGTCTGCTCTTCATACGCGGATAGTATAAAATATCACAATAGGTGAGAGTTGACAAAACAAGGGACTCATACATTTTTTTCTCAATTTATAGGTTAGTAGGTAGCGATTGGCATATAACGCTCTCATTCGGGCATATGTTTTTTTAGTTAATGTCATAACAAGTTCTCTGAACCTCAATTTGCTATGTGTGTGTAGATAAAAAATAACACAGGCCTAGTATGGAGCCCTGAGAGACTCCTGATGGTAGAATCCTACTTCTGACAGCCTGTTGTCCACAGAGACACATTGCATACGTTGTGAAACATAGTTTTTAAAGAACTGAATAGCAATATCATCAAGCCCAATGTAATGTAGCTTGGAAAGTAAAAGCTTGTGATTAATTTTATCGAAAGCTTTGGAGTAGTCAACTGATACAAGTAAGACTGCCTCTTTTTGTAGAAAGCTCTTATGATGTTGTCACACAAAACTGCTTTTTCTAAAATTTTGACAGGCGACGAACTGTCAGGTGAGAAACATCATTTGCTTTATTGTTTTTTGGTGTTGGTAAAATCAACGCAGTTTTCCAGGCTTTGGGAAACAATCCCCTTGCAATGCAAGTGTTAACTATGTGCAAGATATGGTAAAATGTTATTGGTAAATTGATCATAATCATAGTTCATCATCACGCATTCGCATCTGATTTTAAACAATTTATGTTATCAAAAATCTCTTGAGGACTCAAGATCCTTAAAGAAAAAGAATTAGAAAAGTATTCAGCTTATTGTTTTTATAAAACTGACATACATTTTCCGGAACATTATCGACACTGTAAACAGACATGAAATAGTCGTGTATCATATTTACATTAATGATATTATCCGGTAGAGTACATTTATTACAAGGATTTATATTAATTTTCTTTAGCCCTGACCCAATCTTTCTTGACTCAGATTGCTCAGAAAGCATTCCCAAATAGTCTTTTTTTGCTTTTCGAATATAGTTACCTTCATCGTCTTTTGCCCTACCATAAGCACCCTCTCGTTAAAGTAGCTCTTTATCATGTTCAATAGTTAGCTAGGGGTGTCTAGCTCTCGAGAGATTTGACGATTTTCTGCCACTGTGCCGTGTTAAAGACATTCTTAACGTCAAAAGCAACCGTAACGCAAAGCTTCTTACTATTGTAGCTGTCGCTATCCGCTACTTCCGCCAGCTGTATCGCTGCACTAAGTGCATCTTAATCAATCTGCCCTCTTCATCTTTACTCTCTGGTTACTCAGTCCAAACCCCTCACTGATAGCATTTTCCACATTGTACTTATTGATACGTGCTCCTGATAATATGGTCTTTGGAAATAATCAGAACGCATTTTCTCAGACTGAACTTATTAACTAGTGTATTATTATAAAATATTATATATTGTTCACTTGGTTGTTCTCTTATTGGCTGATTCCTCCTGGATTTTTATCTAAGTAACTGGTATTTTCAGTCTTTCAGAAAAATAGGTTGCATTTTCTAATAAGCTGGGCTCACCTCAGCCACATAGAAAATGGGCGGGTCCATCGAACGTCATTAGTCTAAGTAACTGGAGAGTTCAGCTTTATAGACTACTGTAGTAGTAGCTAAGTGACAGGTTTCTTAGCTAAGAAACCAATTCTCTAAGAAGCTATGACATATTATAGCATGCCTATTAAATTTGCATCCCTTAACAGAAAATGGAAAATCCGTGGTATCATAGTGTATGTCAGTTTTCAAAACTTCTTGTTATTTCTATTGCAACCGCGTGTTCATAAGCATGTATTTTAACCTTGTTAAAATGGACAACCTAAATTAAAAAGGATGCGTGTAATGCATAACTAGAGGGAATAAATAAGATAAGTAAATGAAATTTATGGTTTAGATACATTTTAATAAATAGTATACGTTCAACAATAATTATATAGATGGTTTTTAACAAACTAAAAGTTACGGAATCTCAGAGATTAGATGTGATACGTCTGGAGTATATGCTGGTAGATATCTAGGAACGTGTGGAGGACCCTGAAAAGAAATTACACTTTGAATAGCGAACAATACTTATGTTTGCCTCATTCATAAACGCCATTTTGTGCATGTGTCCCACATAACAGCAACAGCCAGAGCATATTTGATCAAGCACTATCAAACACCGAATCCAAAGTTTACAGCGATACCTCAACACATTCTGACATCTATTTAGGTGACCCATTGTATTAATTTTATACTGTTTGCAATAGTACATGTTTTGTCGTTCAAAAGTACGAAAGAACCATTTTTCCTTCCCGTCAATGAGCGCACACTTTAAAGCAGTACGCCTCTTACCGTTTGACCATCATCCCTTGGCCGGTGCCTGTTATCTCCGGGAGCCGCAATATCTCCAGGCCAAGCCCGTTCTGGGCCCCCGTACATGTGACCAATGCGCTGGAACTTGTCGAACACATGTGACGAGATAGTCACAGGATCATTGACGCCGTTCGACTTAATTCGGCGACCACCTCCGCCTGGTGTCAGAGAGGTAGTAGCTCGCAATGTTCTACGTTTCTGGAATAAATAGAGAATCCGATGTCAGTTAACATATAGTACAAATCTGCGGTTAAACAAAAAAAAATTGTTAGGAATTCTTAGACAATGCTTCGTACATCCATTGTCTATCAATATGCGCTCCACATTATTTTAATTAATATAATAATAATAATAATAATAATAATGACTTTATTCAAAAGATGATCATAGTATGGCGAAGTTTAGCCATGGCTACTCTACCACTTAACCATACTACAACCAGACATTACAAAACATTAGCATAACAACATGAATCAGTAGCTGTAAGGAATGCATTAAAAAGGTAAATATATAATATGAACATATACAAAGAAAAGAAAAAAAAAGAACAAGATATCGTTCAGCAAAATGAATTAATTCATCACTCAATGTGCTGAGTCCAGAAAGTGCAACTTGACTGTCTTCTTGAAGCGCTGCAAACTTAAGCTCTTAGAGATAGCTGGCAAAGAATTGTATACCTTGACCGCATTATAAGTAAAGGACCTTTCAAAGACCGACGTACGATGTATAGGAATGGAAAGTAGATCATTGTGCCGCAGATTTAGAGTAATTTGGTTTCCACGAGGAATCAACTTACAGAGCAAATAGACGGGTTTACCAGTTTTAAAAATTCTATGCACCAATGAAGCCATAGAGTAGTTGTATAAGCCGTCAACTCTGAGCCACTGTAACTCCTTGATTTTTGAGGAAACGCTACTGTACTTCCTAAGCCCAAATATGAATCTGCAACAGTTGTTCTGAAGCTTCTGCAATTTTGACTTGCAAGCTGAGTCTAGGCATGGGTAAATGAGGACTAGAGAGTAAGCTAAAATTGATAATATGAGGCTTTCACACAACTTTTTACGGCACTTAAAGTTTAGAATATGGCGACTAGAATATAAAAGCTTCATCTTCATATAACTCGACTTCATAATATTATTCACATGTAAGTTAAATCGAAGATTTGAATCAAATATAACACCTATATTCTTAGCATTATCACAAAATGGAATATCTATGTCGTTGATAAACAAGGAGACTCGATTTGTGATGTTGTAATTTGAATGTCTAGGACAGTATGGTATCGCGGTGCATTTTGATGGATTGATGCGGAGACAGTGTCTATTGCAATAATGTTATCAAGATCTAGGTTAATTTTATAGGATGCTTCATGTTGGATTCATTGAAACGAAATGTTAGCTGTGTATCGTCAGCATACATTTGAATGCAACAATGTTCTACACACTCATGCAGATCGAATGTGTATACTAGGAATAAAAGAGGTCCCAGTACTGAACCCTGTGGAACTCCTGATGACAGATACTGTGCATCAGAAGTTCCTCTAGATGTTTTCACTCTTTGGGTGCGATCAGTTAGGTACGATCTGAAGAAATTCAAAGGAACTTCCGACATGCCATAATATTTTAGCTTACTCAAAAGAATCTCATTATTGACCGCATCGAAAGCCTTGGAAAAATCAAGCATGACCAACAGCGTGCCGGATTTGTTGTCAAGGTTGGAAAGTATTTCATCTGCAAGATGTAGTAGTGCAGTAGTCGTACTGTGACCTTCACGAAAACCAGATTGGTGTACTGGGAAGAAATTATTATTAGCAAAATACTCAACAAGCTGTTCGTATACTATTTTCTCCAAGACTTTTGACAAGAAACATAAACCACTTATAGGTCTAAGATCGGCATGTTCAGACGGATTCTTACTTTTGGCTAGAGGTGTGACTATTGCCTCCTTCCAGTTGGATGGGAAAACGCCCCTCTCTAAGCAAATATTAATAATATGCGTGATGTGATCAAGTATTTCAGGCAGGCATAAGCCTAGCATAGTTAGAGTGATGCCGTCACAACCCGCTGCTTCAGACTTGAGACTTGATAGACAAGAGTGCATTCATAACTTCACGAGGGGTTACCAGACGAAAGTGAAATGGTGACACGTCGGGATCGAAGCGTCTGTTGCTGTAGCTGTTAACAGTGGATTGTACTACTTTGAGGTTTTGATCGGCAGGCATAAAAGTACTTAAAAAGTATTCGTTGACTTCACGGGGATCTAGCAGATTAAACGGTACATCAACACGTTTCTGTTGACAGACATTCATAGATCTAAGTGTTTTCCATGCTAATCGTGTACTAATATCACCATATCTAGAAAGGTAGGCCCTCTTCTCCCTACGAAAGGAAGCAAGTGCGTAATTCCGCATATCTTTGTACGTAGACCAGTTCACATCAGATGGGTCATGACGAAAATTCAAGAGAGCTTGGTCGCGTTCCTTAAAGATGCATCTCAGGTTCGATGTTATCCATGGAGCAGCCGGTTTTGTTACACGAGCAGTTCGTAATGGCGCGTGCATATTATATATTTGTATTATGCAACTAGATAGACAGCTTACTTTGTCATCAACATCCATAAAGTAAAAGATACGATCAAGTCCAGCATGAAGTAAGTCGCCCTTGAAATTAATAACATCAATATTTTTTATATCTCTAAAAGTTACTAACTTGGGTTCAAATTTAGGAAGCTTCAGAGCAACAGCACAGAAAACTAACTTGTGGTCGGACACAAGATCAGCATTAAGAACTCCTGATTTTACAACACTGTTTGAATTGCTAGAAAAAATGGGGTCTATTAGAGTTGAGCTGAACTGAGTTACACGAGTCGGTTCATTTATTAATTGATCAAAATTGAAGCTGTCGAAGCAGTTGCTCAAAGGATTGTCATGATTCAAAAGGTCAACATTTATGTCACCAAGAATTATTATATTATCAAATTGAGGTACGAAGAAAGAAAGCACATCATCAATGGTATCAATGCTATCTATAATTGAAGTATGAGGAGGGCGATACACGACGACAATAAGTAGGGTAGAGTTGCCCATACTGAGTTTGCAGCATAGCAGTTCTAAGGAAGAGTCACCTACAAACTCAAGAGTATCAATAACGGTAATGTTGAAATTATTTCTTATATAGAAGCCAACCCCTCCACCCCTACCCAAACGATCTCTACGGAAAAGCTGGTAGCCTTCTATAGATACAGCTTGACTAGAAATGTTTTCATTAAGCCACGTTTCGGTAATGCATATAATATCGAATTTGTTTTGAACCAATCCACAAAAACAGTCGAAAGCAGTAGTCAAGGACCGCACATTGAGATGACAAATATTTAAAACTTTGTTATTAAGCCTAGCCATAGTCAATTCTAGATTTTAATTCAGCATATTTCTTTAAAAAACATGGACATTGTCTGTCTGATGCAGCATGATCGACTGAATATGGGTTAACATCTCTAGAATGACTTTTCATATAATTATTATATACACAGCAATTCACACATTTCTTACTAACAGAGTTACAATCTTTCTCATCATGGTCATTAGAACATAGCGAGCACACACACTTATTTTTGCAATCTTTTTTCACATGACCGAATCGAGAGCAGCTAAAGCACCTAATTACTGAAATATGGTCACGGACAAAACACTTTTTCCAAGAGGTATACAAAAAGCCACGAGTAATTATGGTTTTCCTCACATCAGGATCAACCTCTACTATATAACTCAACGAATATTTTAACTTTAGAACAGATATCACCTTTATATCACAATCAGCCAAGTAATCATTATTTTGGACTATTGATTCGAGGAAAGTGTTTCTATCATCTAGTGATTTATCAACATCAGTAATCAAGAGACGGGGTTTGAATGGTTTGGGAGCTGTTACTTTATACTTACTGTTAAACTTATTCTGAACTACACCCTTAAGTTTTTCTAAAGATTCTTCGTTAGAGCAACTAATCAACATTCCATTTTTTATAAGCTTAACACCATTGATACTTATTTTCTCGGCAGCAGGGTTAACATTCGCTTTAACAGTATTTAAAACCTCGGAGTTTGATTCTTTTTGATCATTTGACGTAATAATTAAAACAGACTTGGAATGATTGCTTACAGTTTTTGACACAACCTGACTATAAAGTACGGGAAGTTCAGTATTTGTACATCGGGAAACCTGCTGGATGTAATTTGTTCAATTTTATTGAGCAAAATTTTGTTAGTAGATTTTAACTCATTCACAAGATCAGTTAGTAGCCGAACATCACTCTTCACTTTAGCAAGCTCCTCAATTACATCTCCATCGCTATACGATATCACGGTTGTGGTTGATGTGTGACTATCTTCATCGCAGTTCTTGCACAGCCAGTCGGATTTTTCTAGTTTTATAACTTTGGCAATCGATAAGAAGCATTTCTGATGTAGGGTAACTTCACAATTTAGATTACAACATTTTATCTTTGCACTGCCTTTACGGATATCCTCTTCACAAGCCTCGCATCGCATGTCTATGTCTGGTGTCTGGTTGCTTATTTTTACCAGACATACTGCTACCTCAACCATTGGAACTGAGCGCACGCCGCTGAGTCTAAAAACAACTAGACAGCGTGGAGTAGTTTTTGCTTGGATATTTTACTCAGAAATTCACTGGTGGTGATATTAAAAGAACATCACACTGCACACGGCAATCAAATCGAATTTAAGAGTACATACCACAAATCGCATAGACTAGGTGCACTACAAAATTCAAGAAAATACTCGCACTTTTTCCACTTAAACAATGCGTTTATCAGTAGCTGAGAAGTAAACACTAATATCACCCTCAGTGGCGTAACACCATTGAATGTTGAATCAGCAATCATCAACATCCGAGGCAGCATTCCTCAAAGATGTCTCAGTAAATCCCATGCATCTATTTGACAGTCTGGTCACACGAACGTTCTAAGCGAACTAAGCATCTTTGACCACCCTTATTTTTTTAATTGTGACCCCAAACGAAGTTTGAGAACGTTTAGAAATTTTTCTATTTTTAATCACTCAGCTGACTTTCAAATCGTAAGTTTTCTCATCCTTGAATCAATCAAGACCTGAGCAAGGATTTCTGCCTAAGGTTTAATTGAGATACGACAGTCAGGCAATTGACACGGGAAGCATGAGGATCTCAGACAACCTTCAGTTATGTATCTACACCTGAAGTATCAGTAACCATGATTCTTCCAACACGATACTTCATAGAGGCATTAAATTAAGCTCCAAATCTGATTGAATGCTTATAATAATAATTATATTTTGTGCAAGATGATTAAATCACTTTGAACGCTTATCAACAATACTACAGTATCAAATTTTCTTCTTGTGGCAAAACATAGCCTCACTCGAAATTAGCATCCACATGCCAAGGCGATAAGAATTTCACATTTCCGCCCAAACCAATAATGACTTTTTCTATATATTTTGAAAGAAAGCACCGGAACCTGAGCCATTTTAAAAGACGTCTGAAAATCGATTGTGTGGCATTCAAGATTTAATTCAATTGTTTACCTCTACTTGTCCTCTCCACTTATCTGCTGCATGTCTCGCCAATTCCATTCTTTTCTGCTTTTTGATTTGATGCTTCTTGTAAGCCATCTCAATAACAATGAGACCGATACCTCCTATTATACCAGCACCTACTAATATGAAGACACCAGCCATATTTTTCAAACCTAGTGTATTGGGAGTTTTCTCAAATTGCTCACATTGTTGAAAGTTACCTTGGAATATCCATTTATTGTCTAAACCCTCCATGAAACCACCTAAAAATAATGTGATTAAAAAACGGCGTTTATATGTATCTCTAAAGCAGAAACAGAGGTAAATAATGCTATACATTTTCATAGATGCAAAACACAGAGTTTGAGAATTACCATAAATAAAGTTGACTGAGATCAGACTCAATTTTTTCCTTCTACATCTTCTGAGCATAACGCAACAACCCAAATTTAAACAAAGAGCGTGAATAATGTAAAATTGCTTACTTTCGTGGAAATCTAGAATTGCCAAGGTAACATCATCGGACCAAGGTGATCCTTTCTGTAAGCCAATTCCATATCCAGATCTTCCAAATAATTCCCCAGCAGTTACCAACTCACAGTCTTGAGCAGCCTCAAATTCCAGTCTTGAACTATCCCAGATGAAGGCCATTAGCTTTCTGGAACGTAATGTAAAGGTCGGAATAAGCAAATGATGATTTCAAAACAAAATCCAAATATTAGTGATCAGTTTCCCTTAATATTTATATGTACCAATAAAATACTGTTTCGCTTTACGATTTCATTCCAACATGTGCAAACGTCATGTGCTGCAACTTTCGCTATGTTTGCATTATTTGTCCGGCACTTTTGTACGGACGAATATGTTGGTTGCATATTTGCAAGTAAGTGCACTGGATGTATTTTGCGCAACTTACACCTGACGTTTGACAATCTACAACATGGTGCAGCACATACACGCGGCCAGATACATTTCGATCTAAACAAGCAGCAGGCACATGACGGATTCAGGAATCTGTTTATACCTCGATTCAGGGCTATACCAAATTCATTTTCGAGGTGCAGTAAATGTAAACAATATTGAGGATGACAGGCTGCAACTCGTCATGTAAGGGAAAATTAACACACCAATAACAACCGTGTCTGTTTTTAGAGCTCCCGTAAACAAAGTATTAATAGCCAATATGATCGCTAACGTCCGTTAAAAGGATACAGCATAAGAAGAAGAATCACTTAGATATTTGAATGATGGTAATGGTATATATGTATTGGGAGTCATCAAAAACTATATTATGATGCACCTTTGGGAAACGTTCAGAAATTTAAAGTAATGCGTAAATTAAAGGAGTTTGAAAGTAGTTATATATAGATGCATGAGAAGTAGTAAGACAATCTACTTGTCGTCACTTCATTCTTTTCTTATGCCCCTGAGAGACATTTTCTCATCTAAGGAGATATCTTGTACCAACTTATATCCACTTCTAATAAGTACCTAAATATTCCCTAATTATAAACAATCGAACATATTCCTCGCTTCCACCCCTTTCTCCACGTCAGCCTCGGTCCACCCCAGGTTTTTCGTGATCTATATGTCATGAATCGTCCAAAAACAAATGTTCGTTGTCGAATTTTTTTGAGATTACAATACTTTCTCGCCAATGGCGTAGGAAGTAAAAATGGCAAGACTGAGTGCCTAGGGTGGACGCTTCTCGCGTTCCGCTCTGAATCTCCACAACATACGCCTGACCTATGTTCTTACAATTTATGTTGGATACGTATCTTAAGATCACAACCTAAGAATGAAGATTAAAACGGCAAGAACCATACATCATAAGGACAACAGAATATTCGGTGAAGAGACGACAATACCTTTGCAAAAACTTACCCATCTTTAACATCCTGAATAGCAGCCTCAGCAGTATCATAATTATTAGCTTCCATAGTTCTATACATATTAGATAGTTCGACTTGTCGCCTAAAATACATGTCAACTGCTGATCCTTTTACCGTAGCGCAGGTCAAATTTTCCATAGTGTTCCTCAACTGAAAATTACACCACACTCACCACATCATATTCAACAGATTAAAGAAAATAGTTTACCCTAGCATCATTGATTCCTGTTAGTTTAGTTTTTGGTCTTTCCAGCACAAGAAAAGCTGCCAAGTTAGCAGTGTATGATGCTACGATGATCATAGCAAAACCGGCCCACACCATTCCTAAGACTCTTGCTGAAAAACTTCTCGGAGTTCCTTGAAAAAAGCTTTACTTCAGAAACCTACTGTCTTTGGTCGGTGGACGAATGCGGAGCACGTTTAGTTTATTTTGTTTAATGTCCAGTAGACCACATCTACTACACTGCTAGAATCGCCGCCATGTAGCGATCACGTGGTGACTGGGCCTCCAATTCGTGGACTTGAATCTATACAGTCCCAACCGGTAGGCTTGGATGCACTGCTTCGCAGTGGCCGATTCTAGCAGTAGATGGTGCTTCGCGCAGTCTTATTTCGAAAGTAAAGTTCGTCATAGATTTATAAGTTTTGCATTAATGGTAGAGGAAGTCATCAACAAATCGTAGAGTAGATATGCTTTGTGAAAATTTCGTGAAAAAAAAATTGAAAGCTGTCCCCGTTCCGTTTTGAATATACTGATCATTCCAGCAGTGTCATCAGTGGATTTCTACGTAACCTGATACATCAATAACTACTGACGTTCTGGATGCAGGGTCAATAAGTATCCTGTTACATTCTCATTTAAAGTAATATAGGGCAATTACCTTCACCAATTCCACTATTAAGCAAGACACCCCAAGCAAACCAAATAGCACTGGATAAATTGAGCGCATCCTCTTCAGTGCCATCTGTGTTTGCCAGCTTAAATCGCCCAAAAGGAGAGAAACGGTCTAGAAGATAGAGTACGAGTGCCACTACATGTACTGACACCATCACTAGGATCCATAAAGTATTGCTGAATGGTTGCAAGAACGATACCAACGTGGATGATCTAGAAGGCTGGAAATTAAGTTTATTTTTAATAAAAGGTTTCTAGTTGTCTTCAGTACGTTCTTTAACTGCACACTATTATACAAATCCGTGCATACCTTCTTTTCCAAAATCGTAATGCCCTGATATTTGAACGGTTTACTAAACTCGATGAACTCAGCTCGTTCAGGGTTAATCGTCAAAGGAGCGACTATCATATCCGCTCTTTCACTCACAAGCTCCCCGATTAAGCCCGTCCATTCCTTTCTACCACTTCCTGAAGTATTTCTGATTATATAGTTACCAAATTGCCCATCTGGAGATAAGGCTAAGCTGTATGTGAAATTAATCTTCTTGGATAGTTCTTTGAGGAGATCCATGCAGTACCCACGGCAACAATACGAGCCATCAACTACAAAGACAAAATACTAATTTTTTAGACACCAACATGATATACAAAGTGATTAAAAAAATAATGACAGTATATCTACAGCAGAAAGTACAAAAATAAGAAAGAAAGTTGCTATTCACATAGGTCCTGAAATGCCCCATTAACAGGATCCAGGGTGTTGGATATTTCTTTGCTACTGATGAGAGTGGCTCAGGAGGAAGCTGGGACATTCTTCAAATAACGGTAGTGTGGGGCTTACTCCCCTAATACTGCGTACAATGTTTAATGTCAAACTACACTAACTCCAGTGTGTTTAAAAGATAGGCTATCTTATCCAAAACTGCAATAGATATTCCAGAAAAATAAATGCCTCCAAAATTTTTTTCTGTATGGGTCAAAATATCACAGTTTCTACGCCACTGCTGTAGTTAGAGGCGCATTTTTATAAGGATTGCTTATGATATTAGTACTTCATGTACAAAATTTTAAGCCAATATCTTTATACATTCGGGAGTTACACATTTTTCTCAACTTTGAAATTATAACTTGAACATCCATAAACCCATTTCGTGTTATTTTAGGACTTACCTTCTGCCATAGAATAATTGCCATAATTTTTAATTGTCCTGTATGAAGGAATACAACTGGTTTACTATATTTACTAATTTATTCTTATGATCAAGCCCTTACTCCCGTTAAAGTAGTAACTGTTCAAATTTTATTTACTCGTGTCAAAAGAAACATGCGAACGGGTAAATGAGATACGAATACACTTTAGACGCATCTCATGTCTTTAAAGGCGAGAAGTAGCCAAATACAACTTACTTTCATTAGTAGCATTAAAATAAGGGCATTCAATTTCTTCAACAGTGCAGGCATCCTTGCCTTCCAATTTCCTAACATAAACGAAAGGTTTTTCTTCAATCGTAAGTACTTTAAGGTGGGTAGGGATCATGAAACCCTCTGGTTTGGTGCTTTGCCTTCCTGGCCAGATGATGTTCTTTTCATCCACATTGAGATGCATCCTGTTGCTTTCCTGTTAGAAATTAGACGCAGAATAAAGTTTTGCGTTGAAAAACTTCACAGATGAAAGCCATACTACTGCAGACCCGATTATTCGAGTGAGTAGATCAAACTAATATCAGGGCCTTACTAAAATCCGCGGATATCGCCAAAACTCTTATTGTTCTACTCCAAATAGGACTATAGCATTTTAGCTATAAGCTCGCTTATAAGAACATGAGTCGAAAACAGAATTTTTCTCAGATAAGCTTTAAAGAAGATGGCCAGCACTACAAAATTCTCGCTTCGCAAATCTTTTTGTTGTTTATTCAAATTTGGAATCGATATACCAAATTACTCCAATGTTCTCAGTTTTATTCACCTTTAGCGATAGAAGACGCAAATCCAAATTGCACTGAAAAACATTGAAAGTTTTAAAGCACATAGCAAATTTTCGAAAATTCTTATTTATCTTCAATGTCAACCAAAATTCAGCCTCTTAGGTAATAGCCCAGTTAAATAGCCGAAACTGAGACAAAAGTGATAACATAGCCACAAAGTTATTTCCGCTGGCGTAATGGTGTAATAAAGGATTGCGAATATTGTTGTATGAATTTGGTTTTCCGGAAACCAGCCGTTTTTTGTAAATCAGCGAAAAACCCGAAAAACCTCTTTTTCGCTGAAACGGCTGAGGATATCTGGGATTTTTTTACACGTAAATTTTTCTAATTTTTGGGCCATCAATAAAGATCTCTACAAATTTTTCGCTAAATTGCTTAGTTTTCGCGCTACAGCTTGCTGATGGCTTGTGGGCGAGGGGGTTTGCGGGCACAGAGGCGGCGTACCTGCATACCACCAAGCTGCCGCCACACCGCCTACGCGTTGACGACGCAGACGATCACTTACTATATAGTAGGGGTTATTCAGTAATAGTAGAGTTGAATTTCGAACCCTGAGCTCGCTTGTCAGTTTGGCGTTCACCGACTTTTACGAAAGAACTAATTTTATGCGTTTAAGTATGTCGAGTAATTTCTCTTCAATTGCTTGTCGATTGACTGGATAAGTGAGGTAAGTATGTGTACATTTTAGAATTGAAATTAAATATTTTTTCCGTAATTTCATTGACAAGGAATTAAGAACAAAGCCAACCTAAAATTCGAAAAGTTATCCACCATGGATTGTTTAACGAAATTTGTTTTCATTTTCCAATGTTAGTATAATATTTTTTAATAATAAGTAGTGCAGTCCAAATTCAGTATATGTTGTCCAAAATTCAGCATGTCTTGGAATTCCATTAGCACTATGTTCTGATATTAATAACAAAAATCAGACAAATTAGACTGACTGGATCGAAAATTGCATTACACTTACTGGATACCGATTCTCACTGAAATTGTTTCTGTTATTTAATAGGAATAAAATGCAGCAAAATAGTAACTGCGCCATTTGCAGTTATCCGTTGGCGCGCGGCAATTGCAGGATCGTGGGGAAGAAGGGAATTAGTACACTGATCACACAGAGCAAACGCGTGGAAGACAAAAAATGGTTGGATTGGGAAAAAAATGAAAAACTGGACTGCCATGAGAAGTGTAGACTTTCATACTCGGTCAGTGGAACGTATACTCAGCATTTTGCGTTGAATGCACCAAATAACAATGTCGTAGCTGCAAGGGATGAGGTTCCTGATTTCCATTACGCGGATAATTGCTTCATTTGTGGTTTGAGTATAATAAAAGATGCGAAAACAAAAATCTGTACAGTCACACAAAAAGAGACGCGTGATAACTTGATTGCAATGGGAAAGGAAAGAAATGACTCTTTGGGAATCAGCGTTGTTGAAAGATTAGAGAACATTTCTTGCTTAATTCGCTTACAAGGCAGATACCACCGGACATGCATGTCTCATTTCAATGCGTATGGTTTAAAAACAAATATCGATGATCTAAACTGGTCTAGAATCGATTCATTGTTAGAACCTGTGTGGCAAGTTCTTGAAGAAGACAAAAATGTTATTCATTATTTGTCGAAGTTAGTAGAACTTGTGGATGATGACTCTATAGATAGAAGGACTGTAGCAGATCACATTAAAAAACGTTACGGTGAGGAAGTTGAGTGCAGTATAATGGGGGGAAAGGATATACGTGTATGCTTCAAAAGTCATCATGTTTTTAATGTGTCAGCAGACCCATCAACTTTCACAGAAGGGCAGATACAAGTTATTTTGCTTCAGGCCTCAAATATAATGCACAGAGAGATTCGTAGCAAGCAATTTGTAAGCGATAAGTACCCACCGTCCAATCAATTTGTAAGCGATCTTTCCTCCGATTATCCACCCCACTTTTCGTTCTTTATTGTGCACTTTCTCCTTATCGCTGACGAAGAGGAAGATAAAAAAGCAAAGTCTGTGAAGCGAGACATGATATCTCAATGCATACTTTCATTCATTCAGCCACGTACGTTTTTGTCCACCTTCCACTTGTCGATTGGGACATTGATTCTGAGAAAAACAGGTTCCAAGTACATCATAAATCTTCTGCATGCATTAGGCGTTTGCACTTCTTACTACAATATTGAATTGTATGAGGCTTCAACAATAGTGAATCCACCCAGATTGATCATCGAAAAACCTTTCGTACAATTTGTATTTGATAATACTGACCACAACGTCAGGACCCTGGACGGACGGGAGACTTTCCATTGTTTAGGCGGAATACAGGTTTACACTCCGGAGTACGAAATCACACAATGTGGAATAGTCGAAAAACTTACTGAGATGCCTTCCGCAAATATCCTTGCAAAGCAAGAACAAATTCCAATCTTCCCTTACGTCGAGCCGCCAAACGAGGGCTTGAAACTTATAGAATTCATCGATACAAATTTACTGACCATGGTCGACATGCCTCTATTCCCCCCTACTTACTCAACTTATTTGTGGGCTAAATACGTTGATCCTGAGAATGTACCAGCATGACGAGGATTCATGGAGATATGTTCGGAAAATGAAAGGTATTATCATGGGAGGAAGCGGACTTGAATCTATGTGGGAGCTTGCTTACGCTAGTGAATCCATAAAGAAAATGATGGACGGGCACAATTATTCAAGAGCAGTCCGAGCACACATTTTGACGTTTACAGCTTTAGACATCGTAATTTGTGATTCAATCGAAGAAAAAGGCGAGATCAAAGGGGTTATCGCATCATTGATGCATGTCTGGCAGAAAAATCCTCTCAAGCTAGGGGACAGTGACTCTGATAAGGACCTGAAGAAAATGTCTGATTTGTTTTATACAAAGTTGAAGCAATTGAAAAATAACGGCCCAACAGCCAAGTTGTGGGTGCAGTACATTGAAGCCGAGCTTATTGTCTTGCGTTTTATTGAAGCAGAACGTCTTGGAAACTGGGACCTTCATCTTGATTGCGTTCGAAAAATGTTGCCATTGTTTCATGCCGCGGGACATTTTCAATATGCAAAAGCAGCTCAGATTTATTTGCAGGATATGGTACTTCTACAGGACATCATAGATCCTCAAGAGTTTCACCAGTTTGCCACGCAGGGTTATTTCACTATCCACAGATCGGATAAGGCTTGGTCCGGAATCTGGAGTGACATGACAATCGAGCAGACATTGAACAGGTTTTGTGGGACTGACTTGAAACACGGAAGAGGTGTTACGCGGAGTGTCGTGTCTCGATATTTGCTGGGGATGCCTTGCGCCGTGCATGTGATGCAAGCATTGGAAGAGTATTGTAACCTGGAGACGAGAAACAGTGAGCAGCATGTTGATTTGGGCAAAGGACGAAAAGCATGGGACGCAAAGGACATTGCCTCATTCGTTACTTGGTTGAAGGGGCATGAACCATTCAAAGTCCGCGAGGAATTAATTTCGCTGTCAACTGGAGTTGTTGGTGGTGTGGAAATAAATTGTCATATGGCTTTCGAGCGTGGCACACAAGCAATGGGTCATATAGTTGGACGCACTTATGAAAAGGTGTCGCTGTCAAAATTGTACAAGATCAAGAATTTGGACTTTGCACGGACACAATCTCAAAAAGCTATGTCTTCCACTGTCACTGTTGATACCTCTCTATTATTTCAACGTCTGTATGTAGCTATGCGTGGCAGGAAAGAGTTGAGTAAATCTTGCTTCAACTACGAAATGTCTCCTGTTCCACTTAGTTTGTTCGACGAGAAAGGATCAATGCGAAAGACCGACAAGTCACAGTTATATAAAATGTTCACTACTACCCTATCCTCACGAGCATTTTTTGAAGATTCTCAGTTTGTGTAGACGGAGGATGGTTGCTTCACGGCCGCGTCTGGCCTCATAGTAAGACATACCGTGCAATCTTTGATATGTACAAGAACTTTCTTGTTCAGCGGTTTGGTAGGAGCGTCATTATTGTTTTCGACGGATATGAAGATAAACATATAGGTGTCAAATCATACGAGCGAGACCGTAGACAAGAAAGAAATTGTGGCGTGGACGTTGAAATTGAACCAGACAATCTCGTCCCATTGAACCAAAGGACATTTTTGTCCAACGTGAAAAACAAGGCTCAATTTGTTTATCAGCTTGGTCAAACTCTTGCAACATAACGGGAAATCACGAGTTATAGTCGTCGGCCCGGATGTTGATCTCTTAATATTACTTATTGGACTCACTACAACCTCAGAGAGTATGTACTATTACAAGATGGGCCAGGGGGGCAAGGCGAACCAATTGTACGATACTCGGGATCACAAACATTTGCAACCATTTCTACTTTTTGCTCATGCCTTTGCGGGCTGCGACACTACTAGCTGCTTTTTTGGGAAAGGGAAGATGAAGCTGGTGAAGTTGCTGCTGCAGAACGACAGCATTAGAGCGCTGGCGCTGAAGTTTTACGAGCCGGACTGCTTGGAAGACGAATTTCTGCAATGTGCAGAGACGATTACTCTCGCACTATACAAAGACAAAGAATAGTCTTCTTCTCTCGGGACTTTCGGATACAATTTGTTTTCTACAAACTTAGCAAAGGCAAAAAAGGAAACGC